TTACTCCAGATCATTGCGCAGGTCTGATCTGCAACTACAGGAAACGTTTGGTTGAGGTTATTGCTGCCAAAGGAGGGTCAACCAGTTATTAAGTCCAAAGGTTCACATACTTTTTCCTCCCTGCACTGTGAATGTTTACATGTTATGTGCAATTAAACCATGGCAACATCTAATGTTTGTGCAGTATTATGTTCAGCAGACTGTGTTCTTCTATTGTTGTGACTTAGATGACGTTCAGAGCACATTTTATGCCCAATTCATGCAAAACTCCACGTAATCCCAAGGGGTTCACATACTTTTTCTTGCAACTGTAGATTACAATGCAATCATAGTGTAACAATGCAGTAAGACAGGTGTATATTACATGTCTGCAGATATGAAGAGTTTACTAGACGAGGTAATGTAGATAGTAAAGGGAACTGACCCATGTAATAATGAGCTTTTATGATGAGGGGGTACGAAGTGTCGGGTAGGGGTAGCTTTGAAGCATTATTCTTAGTTGAAAGGGTGAACTTATCCTTTAACCGCTTTCCTGCTGCCCTATAGCAGGAATACTGCTACAGGGCAGCAGGAGAGCGCAAAATCACATATACACATGATTTTGCATTTCCGGATAGGCAGGCATGCATGAGCTGCGCACACCCTGCCCGCACCATCATTACGGCCTCACCTTTCGATCACCGGGTGATTCCCCACCAGCACCCGGTGATCACCGTGTATCATGGATGGGGGAGAGACCTGTATGTAAACAATACAGATTCTCCCCTGTCAGCTCCAGCACACTGCTTTGTATGGCTCTGCACAGCAGAGCCATACAAAGCAGTGTGCTTACAGTGTAAAGCACACACACAGCACACAGTAAAACAGCACACAGTTAACCCTTTGATCGCCCCAGTGTCATTAGCACAGTGTCCTTGCTTTTTATTAGCATTGATCACACACACAGCACACAGTAGATCACCGTATTGGTATCACCGAGGGATGTCAGTGACAGTTAATCAGCTCCCCCTGTGTCAGAATGCCTGCCACAGTCCCGCAGCCCCACTATAAGACGCTGATCACCACCATTACAAGTATAAAAAAAAATTCTGGTATATATACGCCATTTGTAGATGCTATACCTTTCATGTCAACCAATTAATTTACACGTATTGGGATTTTTTTTTAGCAAAGACATGTAGCAGAATACATTTTGGCCTAAATGTATGATGAAATTTGATTTTTTTTTTAAAAAAAAATTTTTTACTGGACATGTTTAATAGCAAAAAGTCAAAAATATTGTTTTTTCTCAAAATGTTTTCTTTTTTTTTGCGCAAAAAAAAAAAAAATAAAAAATGCAGAAGCGATCAAATACCACTGAAAGAAAGATCTATTTGCGAGAAAAAAAGGAAATTAATTTCATTTGGGTGCAGCATTGCATGACTGCGTGATTGTCAGTTAAAGTAATGCAGCACCGTATCGCAAAAAATAGCATGGTCAAGAAGGAGGGTAAATCCTCTGGAAGGCAAGTGGTTAATATTTCCTGTGATCCCCAGTGACTGTCTAGCAACAAAAATGTATTTATAAGTTGTACCCCTCAGGCCTGATGAAGGCCTCCAAAACGCGCTGGATAATACTGGGACTTTTTAGTGTGGCGATTAAATATTTACTGAACTAATTAATAACCACATGCCGCCCAGCCACTGTAGAAATACGGCGGCAGGGCGGCACGGGCAGGCAAAACCACGTTTTAAAACTTGTGTTTTGTAAACATGTAGGGGGCACGCGTGAGGCGCGCCCGCCGCCCTACCTGTCCCGCCGATCACAGCCGCGGATGTCAGTCGCCGGGTCACAGCCGATCGTTACCGGCTATGTCCCGGCGATCGGCGGCAATAGCTGACAGAGAGCACAGCTGCAGTAGCTGTGCTTTCTGTCAGTTCCCTGACAGCTCCAGGACAGAGTTTCTCTCTCCCCTGCAGTACACACCCCCGCCCCCTATTAAAACACTCCCCTCACACAGATAACCCTTCCCTGAAAAATAAACTTAACCCCTTCCTCCACAGTGCCATTAGTACAGTGTCAGTGTTTTTTTTTTGCACTGATCACTGTATTGGTGTCACTGGGGATGTCAGTGACCCCAAGTCAGTACCCCCCCCAATGTCAGAATGTCCGCCACAGTCCCGCCATAAGTCGCTGATCGCCGCCATAAGTCCCTGATCGCCGCCATAAGTCGCTGATCGCCGCCATTATTAGTATAAAAAAAAACTAAAAATCCCAGTATCTTTCCCGCCATTTGTAAACACTATAACTTTCACGTAAACCAATTAATTTACACATATTGGGGTTTTTTTTTAGCAAAGACATGTCGCAGAATGCATTTTGGCAGAAATTTATGACTAAATTTAATTTTTAAATTTTTTTTACTGGATATGTTTTATAGCAAAAAGTCCAAAATATTGTTTTTTTTTCCTCAAAATTGTCAGCCTTTTTTTTTTATAGCGCAAAAAATAAAAACCGCACAGGCGATCAAATAACACCGAAAGAAAGCTCAATTTGTGGGAAAAAAAAAAGGATGTAAATTTCATTTATGTACCGTATTGCATGACCACACAATTGTCCGTTAAACTAGCGCAGCTCTGTATAGCAAAAAAAATGGCGTAAATTACAGTATCTATACCATAGTTTGTAGACGCTATAACTTTCACAAAAACATGGAGCAGAATACATTTTGGCCTACATTTATAACCAACTTTGAGTTTACTATATATTTTTTATAGCTGAAAGTAAAAAATATTGTTTTTCTTCTAAATTTTTGGCTTTTTTTGTTTATAGCGTGAAAAATAAAAAGCGCACAGGTGATCAAATACCACCGAAAGAAATCTCTATTTGTGTGAAAAAAAGACGTAAATTTTGTTTGGGTGCAGCGTTGCATACCCGCACAATTATCAGTTGAATTAGTGCAGTGCCGAGTAGCAAAAAGAGGCCTGGTCATTAAGGGGGGTAAATCCTCTGGAGGTCAAGTGGTTAAACACCTGTTGTGCCCATATCCATTGACCCTTTTTTATTCATGGTCTTTATTATAGGGAACTGCTGAGACAAAGTGCAGGATTTGTTTATTACTTGATTTCGGCATAGACCTGGAATAAATACACAAAGCAGACAAAGATTCAAGTAGGAATACACGTGTCTTATATTTATACAATATTTGTTAAGCCCAGGGTTCAACTTTAAAACTGTGAAATGCAAATGCTAATTTATGGCAACAGCCTTATATCGATACACCTTATGCATCTGGCAGCAAATTATTTTGTTTTTATCTTTTAGAAGTCTTATTAGAATACATCTTGAAAAACTGATGCAGCTTATGTATAGTTATTATGGATGCACATGCCCAGCTCTTGAAGAGTGTAGTCCCCGTAAGCAAAAGAAAAGAGATACAAAAGTGGAAAACATGTTTGCGAGAGTATGATAAGATATACAAATAAAGGAGTTCTAAAATCTTTGGTATTTGCATTGTCAATACCTATAACACATGGCAGAGCAACAATACATTTCTTTGAAGGTTCCGCTGTTGGAAAAGCATATTGCTTTTGTGAAGATTTAACATCAAAGGTAAAGGTAGAGCTTTCAAGGACTCAAACCACTTGCCAACTTGCATTTAAGTGATTTTCTACCTACTGTTATTTAAAAAGAAAGTTTCTTAACAGCAGGATTCCCACATGGGGGTTCAGCTTCACATCAATAGAACAGAAATTGTTCAGCCTCCTGGCTAACTTTGGCATCAGTCTATCTCGCACAAACACGTCACTCATCCTCCTGGCCATTGTATTTCCTCACTAGACCTATACAAGTTCTATGCCTCTTGTAGCACTGCCCCTTGCTGTTCTAGTGTTCAAAAGGGCTGTCCTTGGGGTTGGACAAACATCCACACAGCTACTCCGTGCAGGCAGTACTGCTAAGGAGATATGAACCCTGGTTGCTAAACCAATTGCACTTTTGTGGGAAAAACAATCACCTGACAATTAGAGATGGTTTGCATGGTAAACCATGCTCATCCATGTCATATTATGCAGCTTTATACTGTGACAGGACATCCAACTGTCACACCTTAACTTGTTGTAGCCAAGATTATGCATACATTTGGCCCACTGGACTGGGCTTTTTCCATGGAGCCGTATATATGTGTATGTGTCTTTGTGCTGGGAGCATGCCACATTTCCAGCACAGAGACCGGGGTCTCACCAAGAGCCCCGGGTCCCGTACTAATGATTGGGATCTGGAACTCCCGGTTCTAGGTCATCTGATAGCAATGATAGCCTCAGATGGGCTATCACAGTGATCAGTCACTGTGATGTCCACCCCCCTGTTTCTCTCCTTGTGAATGGAGAGAGAGATACATTGTCTCTCTCTTGTTGCAGAGAGAAAAATAAACATGTAAAAATAAACAATGTAAAAAATTGGGCAAAAAAAAAGTTTAAAATTAGTATCAGTGTCAGTGTCTGTTTTAGGTAGGATAGAATAAAAAATGTGCACTTTTTTTCTGGGCTGTACCACGGGTACATACAACAACTAACATATATATATATGGTATCGCTGCGATCAGCAGGAGCAGGAGATTTTTTTCGGGGGGGGGGGGGGTTGTTCTTTGGTGGTAGGTTATGGTAGCAACAATAAATATATGATAGTGCAGTGTGTGTATGGGGCCTATGGGTCTATTGGGGGAATTCCATCATGGAGCACATCAATTTGATACACACTATTATCACCAGTGTTGATGTTGGTTGGAGTGCACAGAACATTTTATTACACTTTGGACAATGATGATTATTATATTTGAGACTTTACTATTTTGTGTATCACACTATGGGACTTTTGGAATATAATTAGCACTTTATACCATATTTTTCACTCCATAAGATGCACCTGACCATAAGACGCACCTATATTTTAGAGGAGGAAAACAAGAAAAAAAAATTCTGACCCAATGGACTACAGACATAGTACAGGAGATGACCAAAGACTGCAGACATAGTATAAGAGATGACCAGATACTGCAGACATAGTACAGGAGATGACCGGAGACTGCGGACAGAGTACAGGAGATGACGAGAGACTGCAGACATAGTACAAGAGATGACCAGAGACTGCAGACATAGTACCAGGGATGACCAGAGACTGCGGACATAGTAGAGGAGATGACCAGAGAATGCGGACATACTACAGGAGATGACCAGAGACTGCGGACATAGTACAGGGGATGACCAGAGACTGCAGACATAGTACAGGAGATGACCAGAGACTGCAGACCTATGTGGAGAGGGGGGGGTACCCAAATTTGACAGGTATCCGATCCTACTTCCACGGAGTTGTCCTCCCCCCTCCCCGTAGTCTTCTGGGACACATGACAGATCCCAAAAGACAACGGGGCCATTCACAAAGCACAGCGCTTCTCACGCATGTGCAGTGGGCACCCACACTGAAGATGCCGGTGCCAGGGAGAGAAGACGGCCGGGGAAAGCAGGACACCACTGGACTGAGGAACAGGTAGGACTGAGGAACAGGTTCTTCTGCACAGTAGAGCCAAGCGTACGGTCCGCTATTCTAACACGGCGATGGGGGGAATACCAGGTCGGCCGCTCCATATTCACTCCTAAAACGCACAGACATTTTCCCCCATTTTTTGGGGGGAAAAAAAGTACCTCTTATGGAGCAAAAAATACGGTAAATAGTTTTTGCGCTGTAAGTTTTTAGCAGCTCAGTTCCCCAATATTTTTGGGGTTCTTATACTCTGTGCATTACTCACATGCTGTTTATTGTAAACATTTTAATCACTTCAAGTCCAGACACTTTCACCCCCTTCCAGTCCAGACCAATTTTCAGCTTCCAGCACTATAATTACTCAGTCATATAACACTCTACCCTGTGAAATTTGTATGTTTTTTTGAAACGGAGCTTTATTTTGGTGGTATTTGATCACCACTGGATTTTTTATTTTTTTGCTATAAAAATGAAAAAATATTGAAAACTTTGAATAAAATCATTTCTTGCTTAGTTTTTGTTATACAATCTTTCAAAAAATAATCTGTCTTCAAAAATTGAGGCCAAAATGTATTTTGCAATTTTTTTTTGTGGTATAAATAACCCAAAACAGTGTATATTATTTAGTCTGTGTGAAAGCTATAGAGTCTACAAACTATGGGATATACAGTATATTTGAAAATTGATCAGTCGAGACCCTAAAATGCCAGATGCTGGTATGATGTATGGTAGTGATCAGGACGCTGGTATGACATATGGCAGTGATCAGGACACTGGTATGGGGTATGGCAGTGATCAGGACATTAGCATGAGGTATGGCGGCGATCAGGACGCTGGTATGGTAGTAGTCAGGATGCTGGTAGGGATATGAGGGTGATCAGGATGCTGGTATGGGGTATGGTGGTGATTAGGATGCTGGTATGGGATATGGCGGTGATCAGATCACTGGTATGGGGTATGGCGGTGATCAGGATGCTGGTATGAGGTATGGCAGTGATCAGATCACTGGTATGGAGTATGGCAGTGATGAGATCGCTGGTATGGTGTATGGTGGTGATCAGGGTGCTGGTATGGCAGTTGGCGGTAATCATGGTACTGGTATGGTGGTTGGAGGTGATCAGGGAGTTGGTTTGGGGTATGGTGGTGATCAGGACATTGGTATGGTGTATGTGGGTGTTTTTTATGCACTGGGACAGGAAACGGGGCCGGCTGCATTATCTAATAAGGATATACTGGGGCAGTGATCAGAGACACAAGGGCACTAAACTGGGACACTAGGGTGGTTGGCACTGCAGTTTGTGAGTGTACATGCAGCCTGACAGGCTGCTGTACACTCACAAGCTGTAGGATTGCTTCTCTTTGCTGTCACGCTGAGAGCAGAGAGAAGTGATCTTTACTTTCACTTTCCAGTATTTACATTGTGAGTGTTGTGATTGGTCACAGTAGTCACATGGTAAAACACCATGTGATCGCCCAGACACAGCAGTAATTTGAGCTGCAATGGGTGATATAGTAATTGCTGGGCTCCCTGGTGCAATCTCTGTGAGCCACGCAGGAGCCGCCGATGCAGGCTGACATACAGGTACGTTAGCTCGCATCAGCAAGCTTACCATCTGCCGTCTATATGCAATGCGCAGATGGGAAGATGTTAATACATGTTAGAAGAACCTTAAGAATACACAAATTTATTGGCAGTTATGCATTTATATGACCTTTTTGATGTATTTATAGCCTGGGTTTTCTAATAGGCAACAACTTATTGAAGTACAAAAGAATACAAACAATTTAAAGTGCCGTACTCTAAATATAGAACTCTATACACTCCAGTGTCCAATACAATCAAGAATGAAAAATGTGTTTATTCAATATAGAATATAAAGCTGCAATGATTAGCTCCTGTATTAACAATGAATAAAAAGTGGAAACACCTGCTGTGTGCTAACCATGTAATTAATTAATTGTGCTCTTTAGTTATAAAACAAAATAAAATATAACAAAATAAAACAAACAGTCCTATGAGTCCAATACATCAAAATACTCTCCAAAGTCAAACTGTGATCTCCAAATGCTGGTTCCACTGAAAAAAAAAACATGTGAACTAGAAAACAACTCCTTTATTTCACCCTGTGCTTCACCTTAGGTGATATACTCACCAGATCTCCATGACCCCTTAAATCAATAAGTGTGTTCAACACAACCTTTTCCAATGCAAAACAGCTCCCCAATCTGCTTCCTTGGCTCCAGCTTAATAAACGTAGAGAAATATCTTCCAACTCCATATCCACCAAGAAAGAATGTATTGTGCAGCACCATTTATTTTTAAAATCAATTCAAAAAGTGCAGACTGACATATTATAAAATCATGCTAGACCTCAAAATGTCTATAACATCACCAGTAATGGAGAAGCACCTCACACTTGTAAAGTTTCATGTTTGGAGCAATAGTCTAGCCTAACGAGTTTTGTCTCTATTTTGAAGAAGTGAGGGATGGGTGGTCCCCATGTGTCCTTTTGTCAGGAGAAAAGATGAGGAAGCCCTAGCAAATGTGCCAATGCTCAATATGTCTGTGCCAATGCTCAATATGGCCACACCAATTTGCGAAAAAATGTGCGCATGCGCATAAGCGGGCAGCACGTAATCGTGCATTCCTGTGCGCGAAAGCACACCGGCACAGGCAGGGCGCGATAATTACTGATGCTCAGTGGCCTTTATAAGGACTGCACCTCTGCTCAATAATTGCTGGATTATCATCAAACTTCTGTTCCTGTGTTCCTGTGTATACTGCTGATTACCAGTTACCGACCTGGCTCGACTCTGACCTTGCTTTGGTTCTCTTTCTGGCTCTCTACCCTGGCTTGATCCTGACCTCACTCCTGTCTGCTGCTCTGTGTATGACCCCGGCTTTTTCCTGACCTTGCTCCTGTCTGCTGCTCTGTGAATGATCCCGGCTTGATCCTGACCTTGCTCCTGTCTGCTGTTCTGTATTGACCCTGGCTCTGGCTACTGACTACTCTACTCATCCCCCGGGATCCACCTGTACTCTGGAGAAACTCCTCCTGCGTCTGGAGTACCCATAGGTTCCGTCTCACCAGGCATCACCAAGAAGCAACATCCCTGGCAACCCGTGCTTCATTGGGCACTGCACCTCCTGTTACCACCTCCAGGGGTGCACTGCACTTATCTGTGAGGGGAGCCCTCTCTCTATTCCAGCATCCGATCATGTACGTGACACCTTTGCTCATTATATATACTCTTTGTTCTAAATGGAAACTCAATCCACTCACCTCATTTGTAGCTCTTTATGGCTCCTTCTTGTGTGCTATTTGTATATTAATCTACATTTTTCACACACTTCTACACCTATGCCCCCTACAGTTATATATATATATTATATATATATATAGTCTAAAATATATTAGAAAATCTGAAAAAATTAAAAAAAAATAGTTTTAAACCGCCTCCCGCCCACCATATAGTACAATGAGGGGCGCAAGGCGGTTCTCTCGTTCTGGGAGGACGTCATGTGACGTCCTCCCATTCTAACCGTGCATGCTCTGGGAGCGCGGAGTGCGGCGATCGGCGGTGCGCTGTGTCCCTCGGACACAGCGAATCACCGATCAACGGAAAGATGTCGGCTTGGTCATGTGATCAGCTGTGTCCAATCACAGCTGATCGCATGTAAATAGGGAAATGCCGGTTATCGGCATTTCTCTCCTCACGAGCTGTCACAGCTCGAGAGGAGAGCAGAGCTGGTAATCGGCATTCCTCGTAGGGGATATGTACACTGATCATCAGGGCACTGATGATCTGTGTAGCCCCAGCAGTGCCAGCTGTCAGTGCTCATCCATGCCACCTGCCAGTGCCCATCAGTGCCACATCAATGCCACATTTCAGTGCCTACCAGTGCACATCAATGCCACATATCAGTGCCCATCTGATCTGCCTTTCAGTGTCACCCATTAGTGCCAGTCAGTGCCACCTATCAATGCCAGTCAGTGCCGCCTATCAGTGCCAGTCAGTGCCGACTATCAGTGTGCCTCAGTGCCGCCTATCAGTGCTGCCTATCAGTGCCGCCTAACAGTGCCAGTCAGTGCCACCTATCAGTGCAAGTCAGTGCCACCTATCAGTGCCGCCTGTCAGTGCCATATATGAGTGCTGCCTTTCAGTGCCCATCAGTGATGCCTGTCAATACAGATCAGTGCCACCTACCAGTGCCTCATCAGTGCCACCCCTATCAGTGTCCATCAGTGCACCCTATCAGTGCCCATAACTGCAACCTCATTAGCGCACATCAGTGAAGGAGAAAAATCACTTATTTACAAAATGTTATAACAAAAACTAAGAAAAAACTTTTTTTTTTTTTTCAAAATTTTCAGTGTTTTTTGGTTTGTTTAAGAAAAAATAAAAAACCCAGAGGTGATTAAATACAAACAAAATAAAGCTCTATCTGTCACAAAAAAATTATAAAAATTTCATATGGGTACAGTGTTGCATGACCACACAATTGTCATTCAAAGTGCAACAGCGCTGAAATCTGGAAATTGGCCTGGGCAGGAAGGGGGTATGAGTGCCCTGTAGGCTAGTGGTTAAAATAAAACAAAATATGAACTTTATTAAATATTAACAATTACTAGTAAACAGATAAGAATGCTGGAAAGAGGTGCTTAACCACTTGCGGACTGACTACCACAGTTTTACTGTGACAGAAGGACCCCACTGCGCCAGATAACGCACATGTACATGCCAGTGTCATGTAGTTAGTTCCCACCCAGCCCAGTTAGTCTCAGATAGCCCGCTGCACTATCACAATCCCATTATAAGTCGCCGATCACCGCCATTACTAGTATAAAAAAAAAAAAAAATTCCACTTTTCATACCATGGTTTGTGGATGCTATAACTTTCACACAAACCAATTAATATACACTTATTAGGATTTGTTTACCGAAGACATGTAGCAAATACATTTTGGCCTAAATTTATGAAGAAATTTGATTTTTTTTTGATCAGATATGTTATGTTAACAGAAAATAGAAGATTTGGATTTTTTGCTAAATTTTCAGACTTTTTCATTTGTATACTAAAAAAAATAAAAGCCCAGTGGAAATTAAATATCACCTAAAGAAAGCTCTATTTGTGTGAAATAAAATCATATAAATTTTATATGTAGGTACAGTGTTGCACGACCACGCAATTGCCATTTAAAATAGTGCAGTGACAAATAGCAAAAAAATGCCCTGGTCATGAAAAGGGTAAAATATTCCAGAGCTGAAGTGGTTAAACATTAATAATAAAACAATTTAAATATATTTCTATATTTACCTATATGACACTAAGAGGCCTAGTTCATATATCCACCAGGTCTCTCTCTGCAACACCTCTTCTAAGAGTGGATGCCCTCCATTTATTACTAACCTTATCAATGCCATAGAAAATTAGTCCCCTTGAATCACAAATATGAAAATTATGAAAGCGCCTTGAGATGCTGTGTTTTTTTAAACCATTTTTTCATACTAACCTTGTGCTCTCCTATATACAAACTGGGGTTTATTTGGCAATATTTTTCCCAGTGTCCTGTCTTTTAACAAGATGGGCCAATGCTTCATTTTACCCTTTTCCACCTCCCTATATTGCCAGCTGAAATCCAATATGATCTCTAGGCCCTGATTTTTCATTCCTGTTTTTCATTGTTTGTTGTTGTGTCTGTAGCACCCGGTTCCTATCCATATTTTTCCACTTCACATTTGATACATACCCCTTAGCCTCAAATATCTTTAATAATATTTCAGCTTGTTCATCAAAATCTTCCTGTAGGTCACAATTCATTTCTATGCGCATTAATTTTGGCTTGTTGCCAAATCCACTTAGGGTGATGGCAACTATATGTTGATGTATATCTATTTCTATAGGCGTCTTTAAAGAATGTTTTTATGCACCACATCCCTTGTGATTTACAACACTAAATCTAGGAAATTTACATATTCTTAATTCCACCCTCCAGTAAAGGAGATATCATAGGGGTTATTATTAAACTCATCCATTAATTTTTTCAAGGAATTCTCTGGCCCATCCTTTATGATTAGAACATCATCAATAAACCTCCTGTAGAATTTAAGCTACAGAGGCATACTAGAGGCATACTTAGCACCCATTGCCATACCTTTTTTTTGTGCAAAGTATTCATTATTATAATTAGAAGTAATTTTTGCTCATGGCTAGTTCCATCCTCTCTAAAATATAATCAGTTTACACCTGTTTTAGTCCTAATTTCCCCTGCAGTGCCCACTTCACTGCCCTAAGCCCATTTTTTCGCTTGCTGTTTTTAGAGTAAATTAACATCTTTGGCAGCTAAGATATATTCATGACTAAATAGGATGTCTTGTAATATTTCAACCGGGACCCTACTATCCTGTAAATGTGATATATTAGTCATGTAATCTTGTGAAGAGAGAGTTAGCCCCTCTAATTATTGTTCTCCCCTGAAGGCTTGTCCCGATTTTTGTGAATGTTGGAAACATAATATGTGACCGCAGTTACCAGTGCCTAAGGCACTAGGTATTTAGCTTATTTACTTGTTAAAATTTTCTCTCTCTTACCATTTTTAATGTATCCTTTATGTTTCTTCGTATATTATCTAATTGAGTTACCAGACAATTTTCTATCAGTGCTCTCTACTGCTAATATTCTTGCCATCTTATCCTCATAATCACTTTTCTTGTTCAAAACTTTTTATTGGTATTATAACATGGGGAGGGGGACATGAACAGTAGGCATTGGACAGTACATTGACAGCAAAATACAGGGGTAAAAAATATGCACAGTTTCAATGTTCTTATATAGAAGGAGAGAGAGAGAGGCTCAAAGAAACAGTGCGGCATAACTTATGGTATTGAGTAAATAAAGATTAGTAATAGAAAGAAACAACAGCAAACCATAATGAGTTCAATCAGTGTAAGTAATGACTATCCAGTGCCGCATGTGGAGCTAAGGATAGACCGAGGGGGGGCCGGGGGGGGGGGGGGGAGGGTGATAGAGATGACTCCATGGATAGCAGGGGAGGACATAATCCTTTGTGTATTCGGTTAAGAGTGGTACCAGGTTAGTGCTGAAAATGCGCACTTTCACACTTTGCATATTAGGGAACCTCATAATCACTTTTATTGAGGGTAACAATCCATCCCCCCTTTTTGTCCACTGGTCTGATCAGCGCATTTCTCTTTCTTTCTATTTCCTTTACACCAGCACATACTGTATTTCCTACTTTCCCTACTTCTATAATAGTTTACCTCATTCCCCTTCATATCCTCCTCCACAAATCCCTTGTAGACTTCCAAATAGTGGTTCCCTGAATTATTGGGGTTAAAAGTGGAGTGTTTTTTTAGGCCACTATGTACATATTGCTAATCCTCTAGAGTCACCTTTATAATTGATCATTTTTTGCATTATGTTTCTTTATATTACATTGTCACATAAATCTTTGTATATCAATGTAGGCATTATTTTCCGGCAACTTATTTAACCACTTCAGTCCAGGGTGCCATCACAAACGCACTGCACCTGTTTTTCCGACACCACTTTAAAATGGCAGACTCTGTTGTCCTGTCATGCCCAGGTAGCTTCTGGTCATGGGACTGCTAGCTGTCATCGACAGTGCGGATCCAGCGCTAAGTCCAGAAGTTGAAATGGGCTGCTCATGTCAGCTCCTGGGCTTCTTATTTTGCTACACAGTACCTGTAGCATATCACTTTATATGTGTTTACACTGGAGGGGATGTGGCATCACATGTGATGTCATAACACTTTCTGTCAATACAGAGACTCAAGCTGCTTGCAACCATCAATCACTTCTATAGTAATATACTGCTAGTAATGTTAATAAATGATGAGGGGAATGTTTATGTTATTGTTCTCAGTGTGATAAGCTAAAAAATTCTGGGGATTTTATACTGCAGAGAGGGGTCAAGGGAGTTACTTGAACAAGTGATAAAGACAGCTTCTATCACTTTCTCATCATGTCTTCTATGCTCATTCACAGATAAATGACAGCTGCTTGGAATATCCTTGTTTAACCATCTCCATGCTATGTATGATTGACAAATGGCACTGTGCTAGTGCCCTAAGGTAAATGACTTCTACTAGGAATATCCATGTTTAACCATCTTCATGCTTTATATAATTGATAAATTACACTGTGTTTTTGCTCTATGGTATGTGCTCTAACAGCCTTTAAACATGTCTATATTTTGCAGTGATTGAATCTCACCTCCTTTTGCCTTTAGTGATCAGAGGATCAACTACCTTTTATGACTTTGGCCTGTGACTATGGCTGGTCTGTTTTTTTTTTTGACAATTTCCCCTTCCATTTAAGTGTTTCAGTTCCTAATCAATTAATTGATAGATGCTTCCTTGCTCTATCTCCTTACAAATTTAGATTAACTTATGGGAAAAGTCTTAGACAGGGTCAAATTGCAGATAAGTGTTTGAACAAGCGTTAAAGCAGTTCAAATACAACTGTTTAATTAAAGCAGTAAGAAGATGCAAGAACTATGCTTCACTTTGGAAAGACTACAAGCAAACTAACATTTTGTAAATCATTTCTTTTGAAGTCTGATTCCCAGTCTCTTTTTCTTTTATGCTCCCCCTAGCCTTCCTTCCCACATTGTTGTCCTCAGGTCCTCAAATTCTCCTTACCTTACCCCTCCACTCCACCCCATAGCTTACATCCTATCCTACCCTCTCCTGCTCTCGGCTAATACTGGAATCTTCTACTCTTTCAACCAGTCCATCCCCCACAGTTACTACCTTTTGTACCACTAGCCCCTCCCTCCTAGATTGTAAGCTCCAAGGAGCAGGGCCCTCAAATCCCTCTTGTATTAAACTGTATTGTTACTGTATTGTCTCCTGTTATATTGTAAAGCGCTGAGCAAACTGTTGGCGCTATATAAATCCTGTATAATAATAATAATATATTTATCACCCTCATTCCTACCCTCTTCCTATCACTACACTCATCACCTCCTGAAAATGCTGAACCCACATGCTGACCTAAACATCAGGACAGTGAGGTATGTGTTCACACTACTGTACAAACAATTTAGGCAGGTGTGAAAAAATCCTGTAAATTAAGAATGCTTTCAGAAATAGAAGTGTTAATAGTTTATTTTTATCAATTAACAAAATGGAAAGTAAATTAACAGAAGAGAAATCCAAATCAAATCAATATTTGGTGTGACCACCCTCTGCCTGCAATACAGCATCAATTTTTCTAGGTACAATTGCACACAGTTTTTGGAAGAACTCGGCAGGTAGGTTGTTCCAAACATCTTGGAGGACTG